GATGATAAGAGTTTAAGTTTTCTCCATACAAATTGCTTTGTAGTTGCAAGATGAAATCATAACTGTGAAAGATGTCTTGACAACTGAAATGAATATCTGCGAAAAGGTAGGTAAATAGCATGTGCTTCTGAATGTTTTACCCTGAGAATGACACAATGACATGATGTGATATTTTGTCTGGAGATGAAAAATGAGAAATTATTACTAGACTTAGAGAAATTTTTATGTGAAAAGAAGATGGACTTAGTATTTAAAAAAAAACTAATTTGAAAAGAATAAAAAGGACAGATGAACTATTTCCAATTAAAGGAAATTAAAGAAATACCTGATCACTGATGTTATCCTTTTAAGGCAGGAATAATTACTACAAAGAATCTCACTGGCTCAGTTCACACAATGGGATCATGGACCACAGATTAGGTGCAAGTATTAAATTAATGTTAAATTGTCATGAATTGATAACAATATGGTGGTTACATTAGGAAATATCCTTATTCTTAATATGTGGTAAAATGTGAACTTGGTAGATGCACAATCTTCATATAAAAACAGTTCCTTTTTCTCTTGGTATTTTAAAGATGTTTTTCTGTTTTCTAGTGAATGCAATGCCTTTTATTATAAAATTTGCTACAAGATGTTCCTTTGAAAATAGTCTCACTCTCCTTTCCAACCCCACCTTTGGTGACATTACAAATATTCTCTTCATCTTTGGTCACTTTTTTCCATAATTTATCTAAAGAATTTTCCTTTTCATTTATCCTTCTTGATTCTGTTGCTTTATAACTCAATAGTTTCATGTAATTCAAAGACCATATTTCTCCAATGTTTTCTTTCCCATCCTTTCATACCTACTTCTCAGAACATTCTATTGTGTCCAAATTGTCTCTTATCCTCTTTTATGTGTCTCCAAGATTTTTTCTTTTGTCTCTCAAGTTCAGTCTGTCTCTTTTTTAAAATCTCGTCTTCCATTTCCTAGACAATCTTCTGATAAACCCAAATGGCTCTTAAATACTTACATTGAGTTTATAATTTACTCTATTGTATTTTTAACTCCTAAAGCTTCCATATATTTTTTTGCAGTAAACTGGCACAATTACTCAGAGGTTGTGCCTATCCACTTCTTCCTTTGCTTTGCTTTCTGGGCTATGCTACGTACAATTTGTTTTTTATTAGATTCTGGATTTTTTTCATCCAGCTTGCCACACACATACAAGCGCACAGTGCATGGGTACACACACACACACACACACACAAACACATACACACAACATTTTGAAGCAAAAACTATGTTCCAGTGGATTGTTTTAATCCCCTAATTCCCCAGTCTCAGAGACAATGTTGCCTTTAGTTCTGGTCTCAACTTTTAAATTTATTTCAGAACATTTCTCTATCTCTTCCTCCCCATTGGGCCTCCAGGGGAAGTGTTTTATTCTATGATATTACATTGTGGATGGACATGGTAATAATACTTTATTTTAATGAACTGATTTTATAAAAATATAGTTGATATTTTGACCATAAGTATCACTCTACATGTAGAATTATATTGCTGAAATAAAACAATATTACAATGTGCTTAGGTATGTTTTAATTTAAAATATCTGATCTTGTTTCACATATTTAGAATATTAAATTTTATATATCAGAAGTATGAAAAATAGAGATGTGATATGTAAAACATTTGAGTGATCTTCTGTCTCATACTGAGAGTTTCATAAGTGATTTTGAGGTGAGATACTCAGGTTTAACTTACTGTTTGGAGAAGAAATCAATGAGAAGTGATGTTTATAATAGGTGAGGCTGGACATAATGGCACTCACCTGTAACTCCAGCTACTCTGGAGGCTGAGACAGCAGGATCTCAAGTTTGAGGCCAGTTTGGAGTCTCCAATTTAGAGACTCTATGTCAAAATAAGAAATAAAAAGGGCTGGAGGTTTTTCTTAGTTGTAAAGAATTCCTGGGTTCAATCCTGAGTACTATAAAAATAACAACAGTGGAAATTTGTCCTGTAAACACATTTTTATCAGTTTTCAAGGTAATATTCATTTGCTTATTTGGAAAAATTTGACATTTAAAATCTTTATAAATCATGGGCATGAGAAAATTCAAATGTGTCTTGATATTCTACTTTTCCTCCAGATAGAAATTCTGATGGATTCAATTGGAATGTTTTATTTTTCACTCTCTCCCCAACTGACCCCATTTTAACAGAGTTTAAACTATGTTTAGTTGTGCTTTTATAAATCTTATATGCATCTTCAATTGTATCCTGTTTGACTTTTGGAATTTTTTTTTGCCTCAAATCCACCTATCAAATAATATCCCCCAGTAGCTTGAGCAGGGTATAAGCCTAAACTCTTAAGTTCATGGAAATGTTAACTCCCTGATATGCTCCTTCTATCTTACTTACATCCTCACATTTTACCTCACAAGTATATAAACAATAATTTTCAATTAAAAATAAAACCCACAAAAGGCATTGCTGTCATAATTATAAGTGTAAGCATTTTTAAAAGAAGGGAAAAAAACTCTCAGAATTAGTTCATATCTAGATGCATTAAAATGAAGACAAAAGAAAAAAGAAGTCATTAATTTAGTTCAGATTTTTTCCATCTACACTTGTTTTCTCTATATAATGTCACTTGGTTTGGATTGCTTCATTCATTTAAGAGATGTTTTGAGCTATTTTCCTATTTGGTGCTCAATGCTGTACATACTGTGGCAAGCAAAACAAGATCTTTCTTCACATGCTTGCTTCACATGTGTTCTATTGGAGGAGGTAACCCAAACCAGCTAAACAAGTACATATAAAGATTTCTGTTCTATAAATATACTTAAACAAAGAATAGAGTTAAGTGAGATGGAAGGGATTGCTGTTTTATAAAGGCTAGAACATATCAAAATTGGCTCTCAGAGGGATTCAGTGAGCTATAACCTAAGAGCTGCAAGAATCTATTAAGTCATGTGAACATCCAGAGGGGGTCTGGATGGGTCCCAGCAGCATATGCAAATGCCCTTATGGGTTATTCTGCTTGATATGGACAAAGATCAAAATGACAAATGTGATCTAAATATAGAGTGGAGGAGAGTGCTTCTAAGTAAAATTAAAGTACTAATAATAGGCCAGAACATTATACTTCTCTGAAGATCATGATAAGGAAATGGAAGTCACTGATTAGATTTTAGTAGGGTGGAATGTGATGCAATTTCCTATTTAATATAGCAATTCTCTAGATAAGAAATAGTGTTCTAAAGTACCAGAGTGGAAGCAAGACGCAGGGAAATTTAAGAATCCCTGTATGAAATCAAAGTAGTTTCAAATGAGGGAGAAAGCAGAGAAGCTGATCGTAAGAACAGAACAGGCCACTAAACTTACATTGTATTAAATAAGCTATTATAAGAGATAAGTACTACTATTCATATATTTTCTGATGACTCTCAATTTGCACAGATAAATAGAAAATTTAAAAGAGAATTGCTGATTAAGACTAATTCTTCAAAAATGAATATGAACAATTATTTCCTGCCATTTTATCACTTTTGCTCATACTCAAAGAGTATTAACTTGTTATTTTAATTAATTAAAATTTATGTGTAGGTCTTTCAATATATAATTTCTTGATTATTTAATAAAACATAAAGAGTTATGCTACTTAAATACTGAGAAGGTATCTGTGTTAATGGCACATATATGTAAGTATTAATGCTGATGTTAGAAAAATATTATAAATACTGAGGTGGAAAACAATATACTGATATAAAATTATTTTTCAGATACATTATTTCCTCTTTTCTCTCTGAATTAGCAAAACAAATGACATATGGTTTAATAAATGCCTTGTGTCCCTTCAATTTTTTTTTGGTTTTATTCATTTGGGGACATATTAGTGATTTTGAGGATATAGGATTATTTTTCCTCAAATGATATATTATTGAAAATATAAAGGAATATTTTCATATAGGAAATTCCAAATATGTTCTTGAAAGACATATAAGACCACATCTTTATAAAATTAATGAGTTGCCTAAGGCCAGAATCATTTAATCTCTTTTTCAAATCCTTAATCCCCTAGATTTAAAACACCATATCTTTCAAAACTTATGATGTCCATTTATATTCCACATATTACAAGATAGTCACATTTTACTGTTATTTTCATGAAACTTCTTTGAGAAGTCTTTGTGATAAAAGTAACAAAAGTATCTTAAGGTACCTCTGAGTTCTTTGAAAATTATCTTTTATTTATTCTAAGAACTGGAACAAGAACTTCTTAGGTATTCAAATAACAGTTTGGGACATTGTGAGTTTGTCAGTGGAAGAAATGTGAATTGTTCATGAAAATCAGTCTGTGTCATATGATCAATGAAACCCTCAGAGTGCCTGATTTTATCATTAAATACTTTAGCTTCATAAAATGCTCTTATGAATGCAATAAATGATGCTATTTTGTAGTAGATAGTATACATTGTCAAGGAATAATGAACAGGACTGAAATATATTGTGCTGTGAATATTTTTCCTGCACAGACAGGAAAATAGGATGGAAAAAATATATATATTGAAGATTAAAAGACTGCAGCTATTGTGGCAAAGTGAAAGATAATTTTAGACACTATTCAATCTTAAGTTAACCGTTTCCATTTTTAGTAGTGAATAAAATGAAATTGCAGGATTGAAAGGTGAAAATTGGAAATTGTTTCATTATCTTAGCAGAGTCCAAGAATGTAGGAACTCTTAGCATAAAATTTAACCTTTGAAATTTGTCTGTGTGTAGTTTATTTGTGTGCATATGTGCATAAATCCATCAATTGCTGTCTTTAATTTCTGTTAATTCTCCTTGGAATGCATTTTATAATATTCTCTTTACCATCAACTTCTCCTATTATTTCAGTATAGGGAGACATATGTAATCTGGATAGACATTTTACATTTATATAGTTCAATATTTTTTCCACTTGTCCTTTTTATTCACGAAGTTTCATTATGCGGGACTCGCCTACCTGTTCCTCAGTCTGTCTATGTCAGGGAGTCACTTACATCTTCCCTTTAGGCTCCATTCCTTTCTGCATTTGAATGAGAGTCCTTCTAAATGGAATTCTTGAGTGAGAAATCTAAAAATAAATTGAAATAAGTCCCTTTAAAACATTTCAGCAGAAGACTACATCTTTTATTTTTAAAGACTTTCAGAGTCCCAAATTTCTTTCTTACTTACGCAGACATTTATTTTTCCATTCTATTCAGATTAAGGAACATTTGAAAAATCACAGTATATTTGCAAAATGCATCCACTAGAACATTTTAAGAAAATACAAGTCCTTACATAAATGTATGTGTGCGTGTGCACTATAGCTATCCCTACACTAGGTTCTTGATAAAATCCCTTAATACTGTCTTTAAAATAGTGTTCTAAAATAAAATAAAACTCTGCAAGTTGGCAGAAGCTTTAGCCTACATAAAATTAATTCAAACTCAAATGTGCAATACCTCACATGGTAATTCACAGAATAAGATATAAAAGAAATTATAAAATGTACTTGACACAAAAGAGCATGAACTTCAAGTTCTTTCTGTATATCTCCAATAACTAGACCATTTTAGATAATAAAATGCTAACAGGTTTTTAATGATCTTTAATAAAAACTTTGAACATGAGCCACCTAACAGAACTGCCAAAGTTTACGGAGTATCAAGTTCCTAGTAATTGCAATAATCTTCTCCAACATTTTGTTTTTCCTTCAATATACATTAGTTGGGGATACAGCTCAGTGTTCAAATACCTGCCTAGCATGTATGACATCCTGAATTCAATCCCAACACCACATACACACACAAAAAAAGGCATAATTGATGATTGTTAATGTTGTGGAATTAAAAATAGAATATGATATAAGAAGGATCAATATAATAAAAAGATTGAGGATTGAAGACTTAATCTTTTGTTATACTGATCCTTATGATATACATATTTTATGCTCATACATCCAGGTGAAGAAATCTCATCAGAAAACCAAATAAATGAACCTGAAAGTGCTAAATCCCAAGAAATTGTATAATTTGTTTATACACACACACGCACACACACACATACACACACACAAACACACACACATCCATATTACCTACTCAGTTCTAACTTAAGAAATGTAATGTAAGTTGACATTTTTATATATCATCAGAAAACTGCTATTTCTTTGCCCTTTGCTTTAGTATATGTACTAACTCCAAAGGAATACATTTTAACAAGAAATAACTACTTTGTTGATAATAGAAGCACTAAGTAAAAATTATTTGATTTTAAAAGTTTTTATTTATTTTTAAAGAAATACATTTCAATTTCTTTTAGATCTCAGTAAGAGCAAAAAAAATTGTTGGCTTTCCTTATTACTATTTTAAGGAAATCACCACATTTTTTGTACACTCTATGATATGGCTTTTTAAAAAAATATTTTTTTATTTGTATACATGACAGTAGAATACATTTTGACATATTTTACATACATGAAGCATAACTTCCCATTCTTGTAGTTGTACCTGATATGGAGTTACACTGGTCATGTATTCATATAGGGAAATGGAAGACTTATGTCTGATTCATTCTACTGTCTTTCCTATACTCACCCTCAGTATCTTCCCTTCATTTTCCTTTGTCTAAACCAATGAACATCTATTCTTCCCTCCTTCTCTTATTCTCTGTGTGCATCCGTATATCAGAGAGAACATTTCACCTTTGTTTTTTTGGAATTGATTTATTTTACTTAGCATGATAATCTCCAGTTCCATCCATTTACTGTTAAATACCATAATTTCATTCTTCTTTATAACTGAGGAATATTTCATTGTGTGTATATATCACGTTTTTTTAAATCTATTCATCTGTTGAAGAGCATCTAAGTAGATTCCATAGCTTAGCTATTGTGAATTGAGCTGCTATAAACATACATGTGGCTGTGTCACTATAATATGCTAGAAATCATCACATTTTATGCTAATATTTGTACTTTGCATGACTTACTATAATATAAAAAACAAAGGGCTAAATTTGTTTCTCTTACTAATACCTAAAGGTATATATTGTTTACACTAACTTCTTTCCTTTTGTCTAATTTTTCTATATCCTAAGTTTATATTTTATTTGTTTTTATCTTATGTGATACAGATTATTATAAGAAAATTATTTTATATTTAATTTGAGGCTTTATATACTTCTTTATACAGTTTAACAAAATATTAAATACATTAAAAATCTTTAAAAGTATGGAGTGAATATTTATTTTTCTTTGTACATACACACTCTGGAGTTTTGAGAATTTAATATTCTTTCAATGATTAACTACAGGGAACATTTTCCCTAGATAATTTTGTAGTTTGTATATAATACGGAAGTTCACACAGTAATAGAAAATGTACTGTGTACTTAAGCATTTATTATGAACCAGAAACTAGTATAGTCTACATGCAAGTGTGTGATGTTATAAAAGCCTTAGAGGAAAGTACTAAGTGCTTTCAAAATGATTATGCTGATAACTAAGTGAAACAAAATTGGTGAACTACAGAACATAAATTCCCATCTGGGATTCTCTCATTAACAGAAGTATGAGTTTTTTTCAAATTGTATCTTTTTTCCTTGAAGACTCAGTGTGACAGATAGTTAGAATCACCATGTTTTATAGATACTTGCATATTAAAATACATATTATATCAAATACATATTATATCAGTTTATTGGAAAGAAAAGCCTGACAAAACAGATAAAACAGTGGTATTAATGTCTTCCATTTTTTTGTCCACACAATGAAAATAATCAAAAAATCATTAAATAACACATACAATCATTTGGTGCAAACTGAACTCTGACATGTATAATTTCAAAAACCTAAATATTTGTTAACACACCAATAGATAAAGAAAGCGGGTGTATGAATAGTTAGATAGACAGATAGATAGCTGTTACAGGTGAAATACTATAGACAAAAAGAAGGCTGCATCATGACTAAACCTGGAGGATATTATGTTAGTGCAATAAGTCATATACAAAGTAACAAAGTCATATGCAAAAGGAAAATATGCATGATCTCACTTCTATGTGGAATTTTTTTTTCTTGAAAAAGTAAAATGTATAGAGAGAATAAAACAGTAGTGACTGGGGGAGTCAGGAGGAAATGGGAAGATATTGTTCAAAGGATACACATCAGTAGATATGTAGGAGGAATAAATATAAAGATCTAATTTACAGCATAAGGATGATAGAAACCAAATTTGCATTCATTGTATTATGGATTTTTGTTGAATAGGAAATATTTTAATGTTGTTGTCAAAAAAAAAGATATAACTATTTGATAGAGGTATGTTATTTGGCTTCGCTATAGTGACTAATTTACCACCTATATGTGTCCCTTTACATCACACTGTAGACATCAAATATACAAAACAAAATTTACTTTTAAAAGGTAATGAAGAGTGTAACTTAGGATGCCCTGGGAAATTTTCAACAATTTAATTTCCAAGCACTGCCATGGCTATACATTTGTACATGAAGGAGTATTTAGCCAGAAGAAAAGTTTTACAATTCTTTGAAGTTATTATTATTTTTCATTCATCCCACATATGAATTTTAAATGTGATAAGTGATTTTAGCAAACCTTTTACAAAAATATGACCAACTCTCTGCTTACTGTGGACAAACTTTAAATGGATAATAAAAATACTGATAGTTTTTTTAAGGATAATGGATTTTCTTCCTTTTACTAAATTGCAAATGTATCAGGGAGACACTATTAGTAAAACAGTGCTGCACACATGGAAAACAATGCTTAATGATTTGAGCAGCAGGGAGCATAATTTGTGGATCAAGTTTTCAAGGCTGGTTTTAGATCAGGGAACCTGGACCCTGTCCACTGTCTTGCTGCTTCAGTGATGCATTTGTTCCTATATAATTGAACTCTCTCATGCTCATTTGAAATTCATGTTGGCTAGTTGATGAAATACTACTTCCTAAATGCTGCTTCTATTAATTTAGCAAATAAAAGATGAACCAAAGAAAGTAATGTATTAGATTGCTTTTCATCAGATATATTTCATATAAAGGTTCAAGGAAAAGGAAGAACACATCCACCTTAAAACTTAAAAGAAAAAGTACCTCCTTTGAGCCAAGGCTGATACCAAATACCCACAGTACCAGATATCAGGAAAACTGAGGCAGGAGGTGGCCTGCAGCTAGGAGTTCCAGGCCAGCCTGGGCAGCATAGCAGGACCTGTCTCCAAAAGAAAAAAAAAAATCCTTTGGTTTTGTATATGTGAAATTTACTTCAATTGTCTGTTGAATGTGAAGACCCAGAGTTCAGTACCTATAAAGATTATCTTCATTACTCATTATGAGATAAATGGGAATAATTTACTACTCATTATCAAACTAGATCCCAATCAATTTAAAGTTGTCCCTTGACTCTTTATAAATTATTATTTCAGCAAAACAATTCTAAATTCATCTCTTGCTCTCAGATATTTGGAAATGTAATTCATCTCCCCAGTTAAGTTTTCTATGGCATCAATAATTCAGTTTTGGCATCTATATTTCAGTTTTGGGGTTGTAGCTCAGTAGGAGAGTGCTTGCCTAGCATGTGTGAAGTACTGGGTTCAATATTCAGCACCATATATAAATGAATAAATAAAATAAATGTCCCTCAACAACCAAAACAATTTTTAAAATGTAATTATATTTTAAAAATATTTTAGTTGTAGATGAACACAATACTTTATTTATCTATTTTATGTGGTGCTGAGTATCAAACCCAGTGCTCCACACATGCTAGACACAAATTCTACCAATGAGCTACAACCCCAGCCCAACTTTTAATTAATATAGTAGTCATAAAAATATTTACTTCAGTGTATCCATCAACCAAATCAGATGATTTATCTGTATTGAAAAGTGATGCCACTATTTTGATAAGATGTTCATAGAGAAAGAAACTAGAGAAAGGTAAACAATTATTTTTGTCTATTCTGATTTCAAGTTCCAATTTCTGCAAAAGGAACTCTATTATTGATCTAAATATAGGTAGCTCTCCAATTTTAATGCATTTTGTGAGAATCAAGATATTCTCAATTAATTTATCTCAGTACTAGTGCTTAGTAAAATATTCTTTATTATAAGCATGCATTAAATTTTATATCTTATGATTTTACTGCACTATCTTGTATATAATATAAAAATATGGATATTTTAAGTGTAAATATGATAACTAATTTAAAAAAAAAGATGCACACTAGTAGAAAAAATAGGGGCATTCTTTCCTTGGAGCTTTCAATTTAGAAAACTTGTGTTGTGAAGTCATCCTTTTGAAAGTAATTCAACCATTTGACAAGCTAAATGAGCCTCTTTCCATTTTATAACTGGGGCCATCTCTTTGAAACTTACTCATCAAGGATGATAGCAACTTTTCTCCTGGTTCCTCAGAGGGTAGGAGATTAATGTAGGAAAGTACCTTCCTACAAGTTACAGAGCTACTTACTATCTTTTGTCATAGGTAGATGTTTATTTTTCTTTGGATAAGGCCACTTTGTTAACACAAATGGTCACCATAGTGACCCATAAAGTTAAAGATGAAGTACCCTTGACAAGTATTCTTACTCAGGACTAGTATTGTTATCTTGATAAGTTCATGCTTTCTGGGTTGTATCTGCTTGAGAATATGAAAGGATAAAATTTCTTTCTGTCTTTGTGATTTCCTTCCTGGATAACCTGTAAGATATTACATTCTGGTTTAATGCATACTCAGTAATGAAGCTGTTTCCTTACTCTTCTACCCATTTGGAAAAATTTTTTCTGGGTTGTTAGGAGATTTGGGTTTTAATCATATTTCCACAAAAATACAGTGCATTGGTTTACATTTTGAACTTTATTTCTGGTTGAAGTCTTCATAGAATAAGAACACTGTGCCTTTATATTATTTTCTGTTGAAATAGGAATTTGCAACTCTTACAAAATTGAAAATATCCATAATTTAATACAGAGTATCATACATTCCATTAGGCAAAGATTTAAGAGAAAAGCTCTGCACAGCTAACGTTACATAGTGTCAGCTTTATGTGGCTATATGTAGCACCATAGTGTTTCCCCCTAACCTTCATGTAAGCAAATCCTTAGACTGTATCAAGGTGTGTGTAGAATAGCATAAGATAGCTCTATTTTTTCTTATCCCAAGGCTACCTCTTTTAAGGATAAAGAAACTATATTTCAAAGAGGAGGACACTGGAAAACATTTTTGATTGCTTGGATTCTAGGGGATATTATAAGTTAAACTTAGAATTAAATTTTGGAAATGCTCCAAAATAAATTGAAATAGGTTTTGGGTTGACATATTTAGGATGTGCTCTGCAGGGTTGACTTGATTTCTTTTTTGCATGACTTTCCAATATATTTAATTTTTCAAAGTTAATAAAAAGTAGCAAATCTAAAAAAAATAACTATTTTTACTTGGTGCACATTAATTGTTATGAATATATTCTGCCCTTTAAGGCAAACCCTGCTGGATATTTGAAATCGTTAACCTGTGATTTCTGTCTGCATTCCTTATTTAAAAGTTAAGATCTTGTTAAATATAGGCATAAAACAAAATGTGTTAAAACTCTTGGCAGATTGTGGTTCCTTCTTTCACAAGAACTCACCATGGCAAATGTGATGACTTCTTAAAATGTGAAATTTGTTTATTTCACACCTCAATCACTTACAAACTAATATGTAAATTGAATCACTATGATATTTATTTTCATGGTTCTGCCTCCCCCGCTGGAATGTACATTTCATGAGGACAGATATTCTTGACCATTATTCTCACTGGTGTGTCTCAAGTGTCTGGCAAATGAATTCTGCTCAATAAATGTTTAAGGAATATATTTTTACAAATAGTATCTCAATGAATGCTACTTGGATTTGAATATCAATTAAAAGTGTGATTGATCTTTAAATCATTATCTACTCATACTGGTTGTTTTTAGAGGTATCTACTTACTTTTATCAGAGGGGCCCCAAATAAATGTTCTTCATTGAAGGGTCCTCAAAAGCCACACAATAATACCATGGTCTCTGAAAGAAAATAATGTAACATCTGAACAGTTTAACACAGGTGTCTCCTTGACTACATAGCACATTTTATTTTTTAATCAGTTGTGTTGGAAATGTCAATCTTTAAAGTGTGCTGGTCTCTTCACCCTAACTTTCATTCATGGGAAGAAATTTTGACAACAATTTTCAGGAATGAGACAGAGAGGCTGGAATTAGCAAATCAAGTGCTGAGAGGTGGGACTGGCCTGACATTGCATTCAGAATTACTGGAATAGTGTGGAACAACTGAGGATTCAGTTTTTAACACCAGCAGGATATGAAAAGAAAAGCTGAGTCGCAGCTTTGGAGGTATGAAATGAGAGTGAATGTTTCCAAACTGGAGGAAAGTATGAGAACAAACTAGAGACAGGGGAGTTTTGAATGATTCTCTATATAAGTAAAAATCTACTATTGAAAGCTTATTTTTACACTGATACAACAAGTAAGTTTTAATTAATGCATAGTAAAGACAACAGCTTCCTGTGATTCAACAGTATAGTTATATTATTGAATCCCGAGTGTGCTCTTGTTTTTTTTTTCTAAGCACACATATACTTGTTTTGATTAAAAGTAATTAATACAGAGCATGAAGACAATTCCAATAGAAAATTTCATCCTGATTTACTGTTACATCAGGATTCATTTACACTGATTTTGTTCAATAGAGTCTTTGAACACAAAATCAAGGATTACATTTTTTTTCTCAAGTTATTGGTAAAACAAAAGAATAGTTTCTCCTAATTATATTTATAAAACAAAAGAATAGTTTCTCCTAATTATATTTAATTAGGAGAAACTATTCTTTTGTTTTACCAATTATTACATTTTGATCCTGACAACCAATAGTTTATCCATTTTATATTTGTAAAATTCATGAACTAAATAAAGTATGCCTTCTGCAGTATTTTAATGATACAATGCTCCATGATTGAAATGGAGGATGGAGTAGGAACCTGGGGCACACTCTAAGGTCCCTAAAGTAACATCACATTGCCAGGCTGTTAGCTGAGAGCTCTACTTTAGGATTTCCTTTAATTTCTATGTCACTATAATTTGATAAAAAAGTTAAGTAAAGCCCTAACAACATTAAGCAGCTCATGCAGAAAACATTCATTTAATAAATGATTAAGGAAGAATGAAGCCACTTTAAGAACAACAACAACAAAACACAAATGTTCTCTTCCATTCTGTCCTAGCCTCTTCCATTCCATTCTATTTTTGGTTGTATTGTGTTTACTGTGTTTTTACCCAATCACATTAATTTAAAGGAAAAATAAAATTCAACTTTATTTTTTGCAGACAATGATAATAAAACTTATAACTCAATAATGAGTTACTGTTTTACATTTACATTGTTTAAATTTTAGGGCCATTAAAAAACTGTAGTCAAAATTTTCATTTATCATCCAGTGTCAATTTGATTGGTAGATTTTGTAAAGATTGTCTCATAAAAATAGAATTTCTCACTTATTAATCTAGACTATTAAAATTTTTATGTTTAAAAATATTATTGAACTATTCTTTAATAATATAGAAAAGTTTATACTGCAAACTATAATAACCACCCATTTTTTCAAATTGTAAATAAAGTATTATAGTTCTATTTAAAATAATATTGTACAATCTATTAAGTAAAAAATAATGTTGCATTGTTCTTTTATTAGGTATACTTAAATATTAGTAATTATGTTTTTGCCTATTTTTCTAACTGTGCTGAACCAAAATATCTCAAGAATCCTCATCTGTGGAGCTAGGGGCTGTAACTCAGTGGTGAAATGTTTGCCTCTTATGTATGAGGCACTGGGTTCAATTCTTAGCATTGCATAAAAATAAATAAGTAAAATAAAGGTATTGTGTACATATACAAATATATATATCCCTCATCTGTCTAGTTCTCCAGAGTTCTCTCTGATAACTTCATGCATAACTAAGTCACAATTTCTTGTAAAAGAAAAAAAACAGTTCAAGGATATACTCTTATTAAAAGTAAAATTCAGTTGAAGAAAAACTGGTGCTGGACATTTTTTTTCTCTGTGACAACTCCTAAAACAAATTGATTTTGCATTACCCCAAATAAATATCAGGAGAGATAATTTCAACTAGTGTTACACTGATTAAGTAACATCTCAAAAGTATTCTATAAAAATACTTAAAACAATTAATATTTTTAGGAAATATAACAATAAAATTTAAATCTGTTAGATACAAAGATAAATAAAATTCAAATTTTATGGAAAATCTATCATCACTAAAAAAAGTAAGAAAAAACTGCTTCTTCTGCCTGTTTCTGATTTGTTCTAAAACTTCCCAGGTTGTTTGGGTGTCTTCTGCTTTCTCAAAATGAGGACTAGATAAAACTGCAGGTAGTTCTTAAGCTTCCCCTTTCTTCTTACAGCATCTGTTTTGCAAGGACCATTTGCCCAATGTCCCGTTCTCATCTGGACAATCTCAGAGATCAGACAGAAGTTCATCAGCGAGAGGTGAACCAAGATGTTTTGTTGCCTTTGACAGAAAAAAAAAAGTTACAGTTCATTTAACTATTGAACTTAAGGAAGCATGTAGCTTTGTTTTATTCTAGTTCAATCTTTTATTTCCCTCAGATTAAAGACAAATGAACCTACAAGAAAGATATTATTTTTTAGAATACAATATCATTTAGCCTTGGCTGTAACCAAGTGAAAAAAGCAGAAAAACTCAAGGTCTGTCTCAATGCAGTGCTGGCTGTTTTTTCTAATAACCCAAAATGGGAAATCAGAGTTTGATACCTCTGCTGGCCAGCTGTCATATCATCCCTGACCCAGGCAGTAAGCACTGTGATTTTGGTCAGCTTTCTGCTTTCAGCAGAACTAACAGGCTGTTATTCAAAGTAGTCCCTGGCCACTAACCTGTTGGATCGTTGCAGCTGGGTGAGGGTCAGCTCTCCAATTTCTGTAAAGTACATGTTATTTTTATTGTTCTGCCTGGGAGCTCATAGCGTTTTGTCTTCATACTTGGCATTCTGTAGCTGTAGTGGGTTTGACTGGATCTGTTCTTTCTTAACAAGCTGCCTCGTACTCAGGGAGCATTTTCAATTTGTTGATTCTTGTTTAATGCAGGAGATTGTTCTGCTATCGAGTATTTTCTTATCCTCTCACTTTCTCTGTTACCCTTTTTTTTTCCCTTTTTTGATTTTTTGTTTTGCCCTTGGGGTTTTTTTTTGGTTTTGGTTTTGGGACCGCCTTAGGGCCTTCTTTTGGGATTTTTTTGTTTTATTCTTATTTTCCCGGGGGTTGAATTTGGGGCTTTTGGTTTTTTTTTTTTTCCCTTTTGTTTTCCAGTTCTTTTTTTTTCTAGGATTATGAGATATCTTTTTTACTTTATAGTCCAGGACCACAATCCAGGTCTATTAATTGACCATTCTTTTCTTCTATTCATGCATTGAAATATATGAATCTGGGGCTGGGATTGTGTCTCAATGGTAGAGTGCTTGCCTAGCAAATGTGAGGCACTGGGTTCGAGCCTCAAAAATCACATAAAAATAAAGAAATAAAATAAAGATCTTGTGTCCATCTATGACTAAAATAATTTTTTCAAATAAAATAAATGTTTAAACTTGATTATATCTTTAAAAATATTTTTTGTAGTTGTAGATGAAAAGAATACCTTTTTGTTGTTGTTGTTGTTTATTTTCATGTGGTGCTAAGGATCGAACCCAGTGCCTCATACATGCTAGGCAAGTGCTCTGCCCCTGAGTTACAGCCCCCTGATTATATCTTAATTATATAAAAGTTGCTGTCTGTGCTAAATTTAATTTTGATTAAATGTTTTCATTGTTGCTAGTGTTTTATTATTGTTGGTATTGAAGTTGTTATCTGTTTGTCATGTACTTTAATTTCTCTAAGAGCAGTCTGTTTCTGCTCCTTTGTGTTTTTTTCTCTGTGCTAGATATTGGGTGCATATTAGCCTATGCTCATTGGCCTCAGCTCTTCATTGGATCTAGTTATTGGTGCATCCTAAGCAGCAATTCCCTAGACAATTGTGTAGGGGTCTTTGCCCCTAGGGCTCCCAAGGCTCCACCCAGCAAGTTGTCTTAGTGGCACTAGGGGAAAATACTTTGCATCTCCATTGGCTCAGTTGTGGGGATTAAGTCTCTGTTAGCCAGGAGCATGGGCATTCTTTAGTTTCTCCCACTTTCCTCAGGAGCCACTGGCCTTCTACAGACTTCTCTCATTGGTGGGGCTACACTTTCAGTCTGTGATATATAGATTTACACATGTAGAATATCCTGCAGGATCATTGTGTTTTAATAATCTTCTAATGACCTCATGGGTGAGGGAAGTATTCTTATCCCAGGATTGTAAGGATGGCTGGAATTGTAATGCCTGACTCTAGACAGATGAAATCGACAACATTATTTTAATTGCATATATTTGCAGCAGGAATGGAAGACATTATTCCATGGAGGGCTACATGGGGCTTACACTCAAGAACAGAATGAGCAACCAACCAGACACTCTGGGAAACAGCCTGACCCTGTGTTCTCATTTCACATGCTTCATTCTTAAGAGACACTTTTGCTGATGCTGATGTCTGTTATATTTATCATTAGGTGTTTGTTTCACATGAATAAAAATATAAAAGTGCTAGTCATAATAATCATTCAGTACATTTAAGTATTTATTTTAAATAAAATATTATAGTTTACCTGAAATGATAAGTATGTGAGATATGAGTTGCATAAAGAAAATAAATATTCTTACTGGAAAAAAATCTATTGTTAATGTGAACTCTTTTACAAGTATCCAATTTGCATTTTATATAATTATTTATTTTTGCAATTTCTTTAACCTCTGTTTTTTTTTTTTTTAATATCTGGGATTGAACCCAGGGGTGCTTAATCACTGAACCACATCCCCAGTCATTTATATTTTGAGACAGGGTCTCTCTGAGTTAGGGGTTTACAAAGTTGCTGAGGCTGGCTTTGAACTTTTAGTCCTCCAATCTCAGCCTCCAAAACTGCAGGGATTACAGATGTGCAACACCACACCCAGCTACCTCTGCTTTTCTTTAGAAATGTTTTAGAAGTTTATCTTCTTGCTTTTTATGATGAAAAATAGATAAAAATTTCTGGTGTGAATGTGAATATCATAGTTGCATACACTTACTGGCCAAGAGCTAAAATGGAAACACTCCTTGTAAAGAGTCAGAATATAATATATATTAGTAACCCAGAAGATAGGAAGGTTAAGGAACAATCTCCCAGAATTGAGCATTCCATGTTGGAGATTTGACCATGGTATGCAAATTATTTAAGGTTGAGTTTCTATATGAACAAAAGCACCTTCAAAAGCATTAATGCACACGCTTATTCAGAGGTTTCTTTTTCTGTTTGCTAATCCTGGAAGTTGCATATTTCAAAGAGAAAATGCATTTATATTTTAATAGCATTTTGAATTGATTGAATTTCATTGGCACATATTAGAAATGTACAGATTCGGTTAAGTCTTTAGAAACTGTGGAAGAATTGGGAGATGAGGATAATGTGTCAAAAAATATGTTCATACATGAATATAGGACCCATGTAGCTTCCTATCATGTACAACCCAAGAATGGGAAGCTATATTTCATATAAGTATAATATATCATATATATCTAAAAAGAACAAATAAAAAATACAAAGAAGAATAGGGAGATCTGAATATGAAAAGTTATTTGCCTTGATTTATTTAAAATATTTATTCATACGTATGTTTTTACACCTCGTGTAATCTACCACTTATTCCATGTCATTGTATCTGATTCTCTTGAGGGCTAGAGAATAATGCTTACTCTCAAAGTAATACAGAATGATAAAGGTAAAAATATGGAATATGGTCAAACTATGGAGGATCTTTAATGGTTGATTTAGATTCTTCAAATTGATTTAGCAGTCATAGAAGATACCATTGAATAACATAATACCACTCTCAGAAGTGGAATAGTATACTACAAAGACAATAAAAATGAGGTTTGTCTCTGTTGTGAGAACAGGATCGTCACTTATTCCAATAATGTGTATTATGATCACATTTCAGATTTCCCCTTTCCAAGATAAACACTTAGGGTATATCTGCCAAGATTGTTGGTCACAGCCACCATAGCACTGACTGTTGTTGCTGTTTTCATACTGCAGAAATCTCCCTCACTTAAAGTTACAACATTTCTCCCAGGATAGCTCATGACAAATGACAGATTGATGTGAGGGTATAAGGAATCTGCCATGACGACTTGTTTCAGATGTCTCTAGGAGACATCAAATCTCCAGATCTCCACTTATTATCATATAGAGATCCCCCTGTAACTGCATACTGCCAAACTTTTTCCCACACCTCATTTTGTTTCCTAATACTCCTTTTCCTTACAGGGATTTATCCAAATAGCACTGGACTACATGGATCTGGAGGCTAATCTTCACCTAAGAATCTGTTCCTCAGGAAACCATACCTAGAAGGTATTGAACCAGGAGTGATCCTAGAAATTACACTCTTGACTAACAAAGGTTTTAGAACTTAGTGGTCTAGAAATTACACCACAAATTGTGACTTCAATATTGGAGCAACAATACGCAAACTAGTAGTGAGGATCTCCTCAAAGATTGAAGGTAACACTACAGCTCAGGTTATGCTGTAGAAGGACAAAGGTAAAGGTATGGAAGAAAAACAATGGGACTCAGGATGATTCATCAAGATTTAAAAGCCAGGTGTAGAAGCCAGTGAGATTCACTAGCAGTGGCATAGAAGAACTTTCATCTCCTGTTCTTACAGGTCAGAGAAGAAAATAGGATCAGCAAATGGACTTAACAGAACGGAGAAGATGGCTCAGTCATCAAAAGTAGTGGTCAATTAGGAAAATGTCACAGCCCTAAGACCAAGTTTGACTCTGCAGTTGAGGTGGGAATGAATAAGTTGTGCACTGGAGTTATGGGGTTCCCCTGGGGATTCCCATACACTCTGGGCCTACGGATGTGGTCCACCTCTTCTTATAAAAGTACAGAGTCCTTTTTGCTTGATAATAATGCAGAAGATTCTGCATTACAAGACAAGATGCATCTCTTTGCCCCCATCACTTCTCCTAGTCATTAGCTACACTACATCTAGGTTATTAACTATAGTCATATCAGAGCATAACCCTCCTGTTGGATCAGCTGAGGAGGGAAATCATCATGGATCTCACTACTGACCTAGTCAACACTGAACAGCATGGTTGGAATTGGATTCCGAGATGTCCAGAAGTGTGCAAAATGTAAAGGTGTATAAAGGAGAGTGTGATGGATTGGTATAGGTGTCCTCCCCTAAATTCAAATACTGAAATGCTAGACCCAGTGTGATGGTGTTCTGGGGGGGGGGGACTTTAGACCACAAGGTGATTAGGTCACAAAAGTAGAACTCCTCATGAATGTGTTTAGGTCAATGGTTTGTGAGGTCAGAGAACATCTTAGCTCTCTTTCCACCATGTGAGCAAATGGCAAGAAAGAAGTAAGAAGCCTGCAACAAGGAAGGGGGCTCTCACCAGGATCTGACCACTCTGGAACCCTGGCCTCAAACTTTCAGGCTCTAGAACTATGAGACATAAATGTCTGTTGTTTTTAAGCCACTTAGTGTATGGTGGTTTGATACAGTAGCCCAAGCTTACCAAGAGACAGCTTAGCACTATTAAGGCTATTCCACAATGAGCAGGATTTAACATGACAACAATATAAGGGGCCATGTGCCGGGTGGTGTGTGAAAGCTTGGATGAGGGAGTAATGACCTGCATTGTGGGGCTGAGGGGGTCAGTACCACAATGGTGGAGAGAAAAAGAAGGTGATCAAAGCATTCAGGAAACATGGTCTCTACACAAGACCAGAAAACTCCACACCTAACTCTGTACTGTGGTAGAGCCTAGAGGATGACACATTTAGCAAAATGTCTAAAAAAACACAACCTGGAGGGGCAGCAGCATCAGTGATAAGCTCATTAGTGGCTGTCCTTAGCTGATGAGGGCTTAGGGTATAAGGTTCTGTTGCCAACTTGGATTCTCTGATAACAATGTAGAAAATAGATGTATGAAATCATAAAGGTCAGGAAGTGGTGATTAATCATCAAAAGTAAGGTGAGAAAAACCATTTTAATGAGCAGCAGCATCTGATTGGCATCCTTGGGTGCCTGACCGGCAAAAAGTTCTGGGGATGGTTGGAAAAACATAGTGACCTTAGGGCAACAATGATGGGCACTCAACAAAGGGAATGCTCTATTTATAGGAAGAAATCAAGGATGCATGATCAGGAGGTTGAACAACTCCCTCATAATAAAAATAATGTATCTAATTTTTAAAACTTGAAAGAGTTTCCAGACTCAGAACCAAGGTACTAAAGGAGAGACCACCTTCCCAGAAAAGGTTGGATGTCAAAAGAATTTAATATGGTAATTATCCACCTGATCTTTTCCCAAAGGACCATATGGTTTTTATAAGAATATACACAAATTGGAGATAAGTAAATACTCAAATAATTTTTGAAGACTGTTATAGAGGTAAAACTGATATTATTCTACAGGAAATATCAAGTTTTCATTAAAAGTGATATATTAGTTTCTTATAGATAGTGGAAAAAATTATCACAAATTAGTAGTTTAAAAGAAAACAAATTTATCTTACAGTTTTAGAGATCAGAAGTCTGAAATAAGTAACAATGGGTAATTCTTTCAGAGTGCCTAACTAACTGTTGTTGCATGTTAGCACACAGACTTGTTTTACAAAGATGCAGAGCTTTTATGATGATCCCTCAATCCCTTTTGAAATATCAGAGACTAAAAAACTTACCCTTCTTTCCAAACTATTGTGAGTAAATATGGAAGAGTCGGTGATGTGCTGATGACCTGCAGAAAAAAGGGGAGTTTAGGTCGGATTTAGATCTTTCTCCTCTGTCTTCCAAGTCCCTTTTCTTTCTAGATATTTAATGGATTAATATCGAATCTGCTCTATCATATGTAAAAGGATTATGAAAATCTCTTTTAAATGTGGCTTCCTTGAACAGTTCAAAGTTACATGTGATGCATAAACGATGCCTTAACCTAGGTTGAATGAGTTTTCTTTTTTTGAAAGAAAGAAAAGAAAAATAACTAAAGAATTATTTGCCTCCAGTCAACCACCTGCTTTTTATTTTTCCTCCTTCTCACAACCACACACAGAACTTCAGCGCTGTATTATGCTAATGTTGTAGGAGTGCCAGGTGACTCCACTTCAACATTTATACAGCAGACAAAATTGCTACTTTCTGGCACTTGGGATGGTGATGTCTCTTCAGTGGCATCAAGGAACAAACATAATGCTACATGATTCTGGGTGAAATATTGCAAATGAGTATCTTCTTTTCAAATCAACCTCAGTTGTGCTTCTGTTTATTACAATTCAATTTTTGATACATGATAGCAATGCCATGGAATTGGCAATGGTATGCCTAAAATACTTCCAAGTGAAAATGGTTTGTCATGGACAAATTGTAATAGGAAAACTATAAAAACAGACAACATTAGGTCCCAAATATAATAGAACTTTAACAATTTATTTAAAATCTCACACAGAGGATTGTATTGTTAAATAGAAAATATCTACAACTTTTTTTTTTTTCCGGTACCAGGAATTGAACCCAGGGGCATTCAATAACTGAGCCATATACCCAGCCCTTTAAAAAAAATAGAGACAGGGACTCGCTGAGTTTCTTAGATCCTTGTTAATTTGCCGAGGCTGACTTTGAGCCCACAATCCCCCTACCTCAGCCTCCCTAGACTCTAGGATTACAGGTGTGCACCATTATGGCCTGAACTTACAATTTTTACAATTTACAAATTTTACACTTTGCACATGAATTTCTGGTGTCTTTCATTAGACTATCCATGTTTAGACTCTTTTCAGACATATTTAAACAGTTTTCAGAAGCAGTAAATGAATTAGTAATACAGATTGCCCCATCATTCAGGTAGGTTCGAGTAAGGGAAGCCCTTTTTGTCAGAAGGCACTAAATTCCCTCACTCACCAAATTATTTATTTTGAGAGGTTTGGTGATATTTTTCTCTCTCTTTTTGTATTTGAAGACTGCACCCAGATACTCACAAATATTTTTTTAGAAGAACTTCATAATATTTGAAAGAGTTTGCTGATTCTTTGAAATTATTAAGAATATCTTGCAGGGTGAAGTGGTGCAGGCCTGTAATTCCAGTAGCTTGGGAGGCTGAGACAGAAGGATCATGAGTTCAAAGCTAGCCTCAGCAATAGTAAGGGACTAAGCCACACAGTGAAACTGTCTGTAAATAAAATACAAAAACAGGGCTGGAGATGGGGTTCAGTGATTGAGCACCCCAGAATTCAATCCCTGGTACTCAAAAAAAGAAGAAGAAGAAGAAAATCTTGATAACTTACTAGCTATGTGACATTGAAAAAATAATAATGTTTACAAATTTGAATTTTCTCACTTGTAAAATGGATGCTGTTATACCTAATTCCTATCATGGAGAGTGATATTGTGTCCCCCAAAATTACGAGAACTTAGTTATTTATATGCCTAATTGGGCACATTCATCAGCTGGGAAAAATTTTATTAACAAAAATATGAAGGAGAAAATGATGGAATACATAAATTTACCTAAAGTTTTGTTTGGTCATATGTTCAGTAAAATAGGAATATTTAGAGTGCTTTCTGTCTCAAAGAATGTACAGATACATGCTAGTTTAATTATCTTTTCATCATTGTGACCAGAATACCCAACAAGGACACCTTAGAAGAAGATTTGGGCTCATGGTTCTAGAAGTTCAGTCCATGGTTGCTTGACTACATTACTCTGGGCCTAAGGTGAGGCAGAACACAATGGCAGAAGGATGTGGTTTAGGGAAGCAGCTCAGGATGTGAAACAGGAAGGAGAGAGAGAGAGAGAGAGAGAGAGAGAGAGAGAGAGAGAGAACTCTGCTAACCAGGAACAAACTACAAAACCCAAGGCACACTTCACTGACCTACTTACTCCACTCTACATTTACCTCGCAGTTAATCCATATCAGTGGATTAATCCTCTGAATACCTTATAACTCTCACAGTTTAATCATTTCACCTCTGAACATTCTTACATTTTCTCACCCATGAGCTTTTGGGGAATACCTCATATTCAAACTATAACAAATGCTGAATCTTCTCCCTTATTCCCAGGGTCTTTCATTATTTATTGTGTAGTAGATCCTGTTGTTTTATTAAAATTTGTTTTTAAAAAAGATTTTCTATCTCCATATCAACAGAAGTGCAGACAGTAGCTTTAAAATGGCATTATTCTTTTTAGTCATTTGGTGAGTTAATATTTTGACAAATATATAGAGGTAAATTTGATATATAAATAAGATTAACATTGTTAATAAGCATGAAAACATTACATCTTCTTCTTTTCATCAGGTTTTCAAAATTTTTTGGAGTCTCTCATTCTCTGCTAAGTATCATAAGGCAAAAAAGCTTCAGCACAATATCAAATAGGTGTAGATATAATATGTTTCATATTATTTTGGCCTTTTTCAATAATTTCAAACAGGCTTATTTATATTACATACAATATACATATATATGTGCATATATGTGATTTGATATATATGTTTATATATAAATAGATGTATATGAATATACATTAACAAACTGTCTTCTAAAATTGTGAAAATATTGGAAAGAAAACATTATTACTTTTATAAGAATATCAAAGAAATTAGACATATTTATGCAAATACATTCACACACACATACATATGTAAAAATATCAGTAGGTAATATTTGAATAATGTAAGTCTTTAAGCAAGAATCTAGATCACCCATGATAACGGGAGAATCATATTAGGTTTCCCTTTTTAATAATATTATTTCCATGGTTGATATTATACATCATAGAAAAAAAGAAAAAATAGCTTCAAGTATAGCAAAAACTTATAAAATAAGAATATATAAGGGCAACAGTTTAATGAATAAATCCTAAAACGTAATAGTGAATTTTTATTTGGATATTGATGGCCAATCCTAAGAGTTTTAAATTAATAATTGACTTTTAAATACATTTACAGGTAAATTTAATAAGCATCTACTGTGCAGAATTATTAAATGTAATAGAAGAAACTGGACTCTAAAAAATGTGGGGGGGGGCTTTAAAAGCAATTGCAGGCACAAACAATGGTGAATACGGTCAACGGCTACCAAATAATTATTTCATGCTTAGTTGTTGAGGGCCACAGCCTAGTTGGGATGATGCATGGCATTTTTGCCAGAAATAGTGGTTGAGAGATGACGCCAGTTAGCCATTAAGATGATGAATTTTGTTCTCA